CTAAAAAAAATAAAAAATTTTAGATTATTCAGGTCAGTATTTTGGGATTTTCACTCAATAGAATACCAAAGATCAAAGTGTGATTTAATTTTGACATCCGTGATACAATGCTGAATAGATTTAAACACCATTCGTAAACTGATATGTGATGATAAAGTCTCAAGACGCCCACTATGCATGTCAATGATTGGGTTATCGCATATTCACCCAGTTGTTAGTGAACATAAGGTTTAAGGAAGAGAGTACCATATGCCATCCTTCTCACGGATGTGATCAGAACCTGTGCCAAAGCTTTCTTCTCCACAGATTGACAATTTTCCAGCATCCATAAGATTTCCAAAAAATTTCCACCCAGTGGGAACCTAGAAAAAACAAGTTACCTTGTCAAAAATGTTCTCCTGATATATCAGGTTGCAAACATGAAAATTCCATATGTTGACTAAAAATGGTTGACCTCGAAGAAAGGAAGCTTCAACTTCTCGGCAACACGATCAAGAGCACCACTTGTTGGCATCGAGCGTGCTAGCCCCTGAGCATAAGAATGGCAACCATTTACTTTAATGGAACTCTATCTAATAGAAAATAATGAAAAGCAATTTCTGCAAAGCAGTCTCCACCTTAGGGCCATCCCGGAAATATGGTATTGTTTCTTGTGCATTGGCTGCGATGATAGCAACAGAGTCTGAAGGAGTGACAAAGAATTTGTTTCCTAAAACCATATTTCTGTCACCATCACCTGTCAGAAAAATGCAGTATTTTGGTGACTAAATTCGGGACTAACGTTTCTTCGCCTAAAAGAAGAAGAAAATTTGAAAGATAAACGTCCGTAATAATACCATCACTTGCTGCTCCGAAATTAGGACCATCATCACGATACATGACATCAACCAAATCCTTAGCATATCTATATGTACGAAGGTTAACAGAAGTTACATGGTAAGTAAGTATGGTGAAAAGTCTCTTCAGTTTGTTTCTTACGTCAAATTAGGATCTGGATGCCCATGCCCGAAATCTTCCAGAGGAACCCCATTGGAAATTGAATCCTACAAAACATGCTTAACATTAATCATCTGAAATGTCTACGCATTCTAAATGACATATTTATCTTAATATCCAAGACATACCGGTTTGGCTCCAAGATTATCGACAAAAATTGGTTTTGCATAAGCACCAGTAACAGCATGCATGGCATCAAACATGAACCTGAAGGCAAGGGGCAGAAAAAACGTCATCACACAATAGCCTAGTTTCGGCTCTTAGCACGTTGAAGGACTCTGCAACCAGGCTGAAGGCGCATATAATAGGATCATCAACACCCAAAAATGACATAAAATGCTTCTAGCCTGTTTGGCTCTAAATATAAGAACATACCCAAAATCTGATCTTGAAAGAAGACCTCTGATGAGATCAAAGTCGAACACATCCTGCATAGAATACCAGGGAATATGTCACATGAGTAATGTCAAACAAGCCCAACATCATAAGAAAGGAACAGGAGAAGCTTATGAGTGTATTCTTACCTCCATGAGCTCCAAGTAGTCGGAAACAGGATCTATAACTTCCACACTGAAATTCCCATATTTGGTAATGCCAACTTGAGAAAGATCAATGTCAGGAATCTCTGCCACCTTAATCTCAGATATCTAGAATACAGTACCAGAGTTCAGAGATGAAACCATTATACAAACAATTTGATAGGACGCCACGAAGTACAGTGATCATGAAGCGAAAATTAGGCAAGATGCTTACTGAAAGCGTATTTCCATAAATTTTGTCAGTAATGGATTCAGGAGCCGGCTGACCACTGCTGTAGTTGAACTGAAAATTAAGAACGATGACATAAGGTGATTAATAAACTGCCAGCAAAGCTGATTATATAGTATAACTCATTGTCGTTCAAGACCCAAATATCCTACATAATGAAATATCACCTCAAATTAAGTTTTATCCTTTTCAGCTTTCACATATACAAAGGTTACAGATTCAAAAAATGAAAAGGCATGTCACTTATATATTACCTTGATACCCCAGTCATATTCAGGTCCACCAGGATTATGACTTGCACTCATGATAAATCCTCCATTAGCCTGTGAGAATTATTATAAATATGAGTAACGAAAAGATGATGTTGAACTTTTTAAGAAGAATTAGGGTAGAAAAAGCTTGCCTTTCTTTTTCTGATTACAGCAGAAACGGCTGGGGTTGACAAAATGCCTTCCCTACAAGTATTTGGTTATCAGCTAGATAAGTCTAAGGTGTGCAAAATCTCTATGAAATGAACGAATAAAATCCCAATCAGGAACTCATAGACTAGGTCAACAACTCGCAAAGTTTCAGCATTGTATACTCATCCAAAAAAAAAAGACTTGAAATGGCTAATGAAACTTACTTCCCAACTAATATCTTCCCAACTCCATTCCCAGCAGCAATTTTGATAATGATCTGCAAGAAAAGCACACGACTCTCAACAAATGAAAGAAGTTAAGCACACAAGTGCACACACACTGAGAAAGAAATTAACCTGTGAAGCCTCTTTGTTGAAGTAACGACCATCACCTCCTAAAACCAACGTCGCGTTCTTATAATCCTCAAGTGGCAATGAATTAAACAATGCCTAAACAAAATAAACAATTAACACTATTTCACCATTGGAAAAACAAAAAGAAGTCATGAATTCAGAATTGCAAAATCAAAAGTGGAGTTAACAAAATCAGAACCTGAATCCAGTTGGGTAGATAATTCTCTCCCATGAAAACTTTCACCTGAACTTAAGAAAAATATCGAAGTAAATCAAATTACTAGAAACACTTGAGAAATTCCAAAATTTCAGAAAATGATTGATTTGATTACTTTCTTCCGTAGTCCGCTAGTTCCAGTCTTCTGACCTTCGATAGGCTTCGTCGGCAACGATTTGATCTATTTTTTTTAAAAAAACGAATCAGTAACAAAGAAAATTCCAGAAACGGAGCGAAAGAAGAAGAAGAAGAAGAAGAAGAAGAAGAAGAAGAAGAAGAAGAAGAAAAATAACCTCAATGCTATCAGTTCCGGCAACAACAGCGCCAGAAGATGAAGATAAAGCTACAATTGACTGCAAACGCGAAGCCGGCTTGGTCCTGAGTTGAATTCCGGAAGAGAGAAGAGTCGGTGACGGCGACGGCGACGGCGACGGAGAAAACGGCGAATACTTAGCGCCGGCGAACCTAGAAAAAAGGAATACAGTATCGAATCTCGCATAGGTTGACGTCATTGTTCCCTTTTCAGCTACGGCGGCGATTTGGTCCTGAGAGCGAATGGGATCAGTGAGAAGTGTCCGTTAAAAAAAAAAAAAAAGGAGTGACGACTGAATAGAGGATCCTGGGGAAGAGAGAAATCCACATGTACCTTTGCTTCGCTTATCTTCTTCACAGTCTACTCTATTTTTTTTATTTCATTTTGTGAGAGATACTGACACGTGTCACTGATTCGATTAGTATATTCTCTCGGGTCTGTCGAATTAAAAAAAAATTTCGGTACTTGTAGTAGCAATTATGCGCATGTGAAACGGAAACAAATTCTCATTATCTACAAAAATAAATGTGATATATGTACTACATTACTACTCTTTATAATATACTTTAAATGTATCATTCAAATTGAGTGATAGCATAATTACAATCTTGATATGGAAACTCACATAATATGATCAAAATATCATATTATTAGAGAAAATATCTATCCATTTTACTATAGGACTGGTAGATATGTTCTTTTTAAGTAGCCCAACCAACAAAAAATATTGTGGTTAATTGAAATTGCTAAAAAAAAATGGGTACTAAATCTACAACTCTCGGCGGATAGCTAGTAAGTAGTAACCCTAGTAAACGAAAAAATGGGTTATAATTTTCTCTTCTAGCTAAGAAAAAAAAACACATCTATATGCATTGTTGATTAAGCAGACGCTGAATTTTTCAGAAATTATGGAAGCTAAGTTATTTTTTGTCGATGTGTCTATATTTTGAAGTAAAATTTGCTAATGCCAAGGCAAAACGAATTCTTTGTACAAATCTTTGTAGCACTTACCAATACAATGCATTGCACCATTTTTGGATAGCCTCCGCTATGGTTTGGGCTTGACAGCCAGCTTCTTCAATTCTACTCTGCTTGGGCCTCTTCAACCCTTTAGAAACCCAACTTCCTCTCAGCCGATAACCAATTTATCCACTAGTGAACCGAACACCAAATACCCGAATCAAGAGTAAATCACTAAATCTAGTTCAACCACTCACACTCCAATACATAAACACAATTCATGTATTGTTTCGTCATGACTTTAAGACAATCCTGAATCCTCAGGACATACTCCAACCCCACCTCTTCCATCTCACATAACAACAAGTCAACTCTAGCAGCAAAATGCATAATTCATTTTCCAAGTTCAAGATTCTGCTTCCCTAACTATTCAGTTATTTAATAAAGAACCATTATCAACTGGTGATTAATCTATATATATATAATCTCTTTAAACTTCTTGTAATCTCTTCTAATTGCAGGAGAACTTAAATAAAATAGAAAAAACACATAACAACTAACAAAAAGAAATCACAAACGGATGGTTTCTTTTGTGTCATTCAAAGAACGAGGACTCTCTCATACTCTCTAATCGTAGTTCACGGGAAAATAAATAACACCCAAATCATGTTTCATGCCCATAGCCACATTAAGCACGCAATTTTTCATCATCTAAATACTATAGGTTGTTACTATTATACTCTAATTTTCGAATTTAACTATGATTCAAAAAAAAAAAACACATTTAAACCGGAAATATAAATAAAATTTCAGGAAGTTTTTAAGTTTCCCTTGGTGAACACGTTGCAAAGAGTTTAGCGTTTTTTGTCCTTATTAACGTTAATATATATTTTTGTTTTGTCGATCTATAAACTATAATAGATTTTGAGTGACGTCATAATGAAACCTTACTAATACATAACCAACTTCGTCTCTTCATCTCTACTAACAATTACCAAAAAAGAAATAAAGCACACGAATTTTCAAATCTTTCTCCTCTCTTCTCGCTCGCTCTCTCTGTTCCTCGTTAGATCCCTCTCTGTTTCCAAATCTGAAGATCTCTTCTAGTATCGCAACATGGGTGAGAACGCCATCTCAGGTTAGTTTTCGAAATCTTTATTTTTTCTTGTTTTTGATCTGACGCTTGTCGAGTGATCTTTATCGAGCTGGATTCGAATAAAGTTTTCTCTTTTCGTTTTCATGGAATTGAGTATCTGGGTTTTATTGTTTATGCCTGAAAGTTTTGTTCTTTGATCATATCTCTTCTTGGGTTTTGTTCTATAGATCTCTGTTTCATCTTGTGTTATCGTTTGATTGACAAAAGCGAGGAACTTTAGTTGAGTTGTCAGAATTCGAAATTTTGATTGCATGTCTTGTGGTAAATAGGTAATCTCAAGAACCTAACGATCGACACAAGAGATTCAGAAACTCTTGTGGTGTGTTTCGGTGAGATGTTGATTGATTTTGTTCCGACGGTGGGAGGTGTTTCACTGGCTGAAGCACCAGCTTTCAAGAAAGCTCCTGGAGGAGCTCCTGCGAATGTGGCTGTTGGTGTCTCTAGACTTGGTGGCTCTTCTGCTTTCATTGGAAAGGTCTGAGATTTTTGACTCATAGTTGATTTATCAGTCATAGGGCTCTTGTTTTTGAATCCTATCTTAGTTTTGATTTTTGTTTGAAACAATTCAGGTTGGTGATGATGAGTTTGGACGAATGTTAGCTGATATTCTAAGGCTGAACAATGTCGACAACTCTGGGATGAGATTTGATCACAATGCACGGACAGCTCTCGCCTTTGTCACTTTAAGAGCTGATGGAGAAAGGGAGTTTTTGTTCTTCAGGCACCCGAGTGCTGATATGCTTCTCTCGGAATCTGAGCTTGACAAGAACCTCATCCAAAAGGTATATTACATTGTTTCCTCTTTGGACCAAAAGGTAGATTAGATTTTTCAGTGAGACTTAAGTCCATTGGTTTGTTTTGTTTTAACTGCAGGCCAAGATCTTTCATTACGGTTCTATCAGTTTGATTGAGGAACCTTGCCGTTCGACTCAGCTTGCAGCTATGAAAATTGCCAAAGCCTCAGGGAGCCTCTTGTCTTATGACCCGAACTTGAGATTGCCATTGTGGCCATCAGAAGATGCTGCAAGGAAAGAGATCATGAGTATCTGGAATTTAGCAGATGTTATAAAGGTATGTATATACGACCTTTTTTTTACTCCATATTAAGGTGAAAGATCAGATCATTGTCTCTAGTACTTGAATTGACACAAGCTTTGTCTGAGACTTTCTCAGATTAGTGAGGACGAGATCACATTCCTGACTGGTGGAGATGATCCTTATGATGATAATGTGGTGTTGCAAAAGCTCTTTCATCCGGATCTTAAGCTTCTGGTTGTTTCAGAAGGACCTAATGGTTGCAGATACTACACTCAGGTTTACTTCTCTTTTTTAAAACTTCTTCTTCAATACCAAATCAATATTAGATGATTACTTATTCTTGTAGCTATATATCTTCTTGCAGGAGTTTAAAGGAAGAGTTGGTGGAGTAAAAGTGAAGCCTGTTGATACAACCGGTGCAGGAGATGCATTTGTGAGCGGTCTATTGAACAGCTTAGCTTCTGATCTCACTCTTCTCAAGGTACTTTACTAACTCATATCTTTCATTTAAACCTTCTGTGGCTTATAATCTAGACTGAAGAATCTGACCCTCAATTTGTAGGATGAGAAGAAACTAAGAGAGGCGCTTCTATTCGCAAATGCTTGTGGAGCCATTACAGTAACAGAGAGAGGAGCTATTCCGGCTATGCCGAGCATGGATGCTGTTCAAGACCTTCTCACTTCTTCTGCTTCTCATCGTTCTTGAAATGCTTCAGAGTCTCTCTTAAGTGTATCACTTCATTACCTTTTACTGTATTTTTGTGTTTTTTCCTTTTTTGGTTTAAATCTTTTTCCCCAGTTTGTAGGAACTCGAAAATGTTGTGTGTGTCTGTGTGTTTTAGTTTGTTGATCTCCCGGAGTTTTAGTATTGGGGTGGTTTGGAGTTAGGAGGTTCTATAAGACTATATAACTACAAGGAACAAATATTTCTCATTTTGTAAACTGCTTGCCGTTTTCTTGTAAACCGAGAACGACACACACTCTTTGACGCAAAACGACAAGGTCTCGTGAACCATTAAAATTTAAAATTGTTTACTAAAACCGGTTTACGGCTTACGAGGAGTTTCCCACAGATTCCTCAACGTGAGTAGCACGTGACACCTTTTTGAAAGTCAAACTTAATTAGGAACGGGTATAATCGACATTTCACTGATTGAACGGCGTTAAGAAGGGAACGTTAAGCCCTTTAGTGAAAATTTAACGAACTTTAAAATTTTCGTTTCCACCGTCAAAATCAAAATCAAAATCAGGGAAGATAATTCTCACGTTCTCCATCACTTTCCCTCGATCCAAACCAGAGCAAGGAGTAGGAACTACACGCGAATCATGTCTGCGTAATGTGATGCATGGAGTGTGAATTTTGAAATTCGAGGAAGAAGACGAAATCGGAGCATTGTTGGATTTGGATCGATTTTTGGAAGTTTGAAGAAGAAGGGAGAGAGATAGATGATGGCTTCGGATCCAAAACTGAAGGCTGAGATCGGACCTGATGGTATTGCAAGAGAAGCTCCTGTTATTGCTTACACAGAGAAGGTACAAATTTTACTCTCTGGATTTGATGTTCTGTGTGATTCGCTTTTTTTACTGAACGCGATTTGATGATTTTTTTTGTTTGTTCGAATCAGATAATCGCGGAAGAGCAACTTCAGTTGAGGAAGTAAGTTGTGTTGTGATCGATTTGTGCATTTTGAAAATGTAGTGTGTATTTACGTAGTAATGAGTTCTCGATTTGGGGATTTTAGAGATTTTGGAACATGGATGATCTAAGAATGTGAATGTAGTTGTTTCAATTGTTGGGAAGAAGGTGATGTAACTTGTTTTTGATGAGGATCTATATTTCATCGTTTTGTAGATACATTGAGGAGAACTATACAAAGATTAGGGATGTTGAAAAGGAATTTGGAAACCTTACAATGGAAATGAAACTCACTGCTGGACCTAAGAAAGCAGGTTTGGCTAGTTAATCTTTCTTCATCAATGTGACATGTTTTTTTTGGTTGTGTTACATGGAATAGCCTTATTGATTATGTTTCTTCTTTTCTTCTCGAAACTGAAAAGCAATGGAACACTTGAGAAAGAAAATTGAAGTCGCTACTGAAAAGATCCATGTTGCTAAGTTGAAAGAAGAAGAAGCGCGGAAGGTTTATCTCTTTTTCTTGATTAATGTATCTCAATGTTTTCTCCTGTCATGTTCTGTCTGTCTTCACATGGCACATAGAGTTAGTTATCGGTGGATGTGAACATTTCTATTCCCTGTTTTTGCCCCATTAGCAGAATAAGTCATATCAATGGATATTTAAGGTATCATTGTCTCAAGGTTTTATAATTAGTTTCAAAGATAGCTGAGTAGATGAACTTTTACTAACTTTCCTTTTGAAGTTCATCTACGTTGTTGGTTTTACTTTCCAGTGCTGGAGTAGTTTCATGTCATGCTATGATCTATAGGAATTCAATCCTTCTTCAGATTGTTTACCCCTACCTATGAACTCTAGAGATTGAAAAATAACCTCTTTCTCTTTTTAGGCATTTGAAGCAGCATCAAAAGTTGTGAAGGATGAAGAAGCATTAAAACAGACTCTTTGCGAAGATTTAAACCGTCTGGTAAAATATACTTTATGAACACTGATAATGACAATGAAAGTTTTCCCCGTTGAGAGACATTCAAATCACTATCTTTTGTAAATTATAAATGTAGGTACAAGAAAGCAGCAATACGCAGTACGCCAGACTTGAGGAATTGAAAAGAAGACTAGAAGCGTTGAATCCAAATAGATCATCTACTTCTATTCAGCAAGTAAACAATCTCTCCGTCTAGTAATTTTTCCTTCTGTTTCTAGTAACGCAACTTAGTCTAACTGTAGAGACACCCGATAGTTCCTGCATGAGTATGTTGCTAAACACAGCTAACTACTTTTCAAATGTTACATGAATAATCAAATCTATTTGCTTGGCAATCAGTGGATACATGAAAGGTGTTATATATATCTGATTGTGCTGCATATCTAGGTCCAAGAACCAGAGACTAAATCTGTAGTAGAAAGCTCACCAGCACCCAATGGTAATCAGACACAGACCCACCCTGAAAAACAAGAAAATAACCAGGGAAAGGAGGAAGGAGGTAGAGAACATGGACAGAGGCCAGCAACAGCAGAAGGAGAATCAAAAACGAAAAAGAAACCACAGAATCAAGGAAGGGGAAGAGGAATCGGAATCATGAACAAAGGCAGAGGAGGTTGGACAGGTGCTGGATTCGATGTCGATGGTAGAAATTAAGATAGACATATATCTATAATACACTTAATATACATTCGAAAGCTGCGGTTTCCAATCAGAAGAAAGTCGCATATATTGTTTACAAGGTACGTTACATTCATCTTCTAATATCAGTGGACCTGTCCCGTAGCAACAGAGAACTCTCAGTTTCAAATATACTTGTGTTACTGAATTGAAAAACCATTCAGTCACATTTGGGTTTTCATCGATCAGTCTCTTGAGGTTAGGTCTCTAATTTTGTACAACTGGGTTGATGTAATGATCTGAGAACAGTTAAGAATTTTATATTTGTCTACGATGTTGGCATGATTGGTAAGTGGTATGGAGAACTAAGTTATGATATGTCTACTATCTACATATTCGATTTTGGATAGGCTCTCTCCTGAATGAAACTGAAACTGATGGTAGTAGTCTAGTAAGATAAAAGAGTTTCAGTAAAAATTACAGAAAGGTCAAAAGAGTAACAGTAATGCTTCTTGGCCTTTCTTCTATTAATTATACTGTGTGTGTCAATCAAATAATGTTATATAGAAACAAGTGAACCTGTGACCGATCTGTGTCAGGGGAGTCCACAAAGTGGAACCCAGTTTTTGACGTCACTCAGAATTTGGTTGTATTAACCAATATTTTTTGTTTTGTAGTAAATGTTGAATTTAGTTATTTATGCTTGGAACCAATAATATTCTGCATCCTAGATTTTATCAAATATGGTTCGAAAATAGGATATATAGAATTTCTGCATTTGGATTTGTCTAATTTGATTTTTATCATATTCGAGATTCCGCTGCAACTCTTTTTTTATTTCATATAAATATAATTTTTATGAATTCCTATTATCATCTTCAAATTTGTAAAAAAAAAAATTGTTTTAGAAGTTTAAAAACCCTCAAAAAGTGTCATTTTCGCCATTAATTTGATAAGTCGAGTCTTCTTCAATTGCATAAGAAGCAGTAAATGGTTACATTTATAATGTCTGATCTAACTCTAACTACCCTTATGATTCCAACATTGCATGCTTTTTTAATGTCTTTGTTTTTTGTCTTTATTTGTATACATTCATAAATTTTTGAAAATCAAAGATACTTTAGTATACATAGACTTTGGCGTTGTTTCAAAACACATCAGTAGCATTAAATCAAAACATATCATTGCGTTCCCCTCTCATAATAATAATAATACTGACGAGATAAAAAAAATTTGAAGCATATGGTTCCAAATTTTTGCATCATCTCATCATCAAAAATTCAATACGTGAGCAAGGAAACAAAAATCATAACCAATAATGATGTCTTTCTCTCTACAGTGAAAACATTAACACTAGTCTCTATTCAAAAAAGTTTATAGAAACACCAAAGTCACAAAACACAAGAAAAAAAACTGCACTGCACAGTAATGAGACTTCTATATTGATTCGGCCGTCGTCGTCATAGTCTCGTCGTCGACAATACACTAAAACACTGACTTGCCCTTATACAAAACAGCAACCCTTGTACTATTGGGACACTGTTGAAGCAACAAGACAAATCATGCTGTGTCCCATGGCCACCACGACGATGGACCTCCTAAACAAAAAAACTGTATACTACTACATACTCTTCAAACAATGGAATTATTTTAGGTAAAACGTGGTCCCGATAACTCGATTTCAACTGTGGTTGGTTTGTTGTGTGACTCATCGGTCTTCTTAACTATGAGAAGGACTCTGATACACACATATATGAATATATCCCTTTCTAGCTTCTCCAAGTGGGATATCTTTTTTTCTTTCTGATTTTTGAATTTAAGCAGCAGAAGCAGCTACTATCACTATCGCTTTCGAATCTCTTTGATGTTTCCATCTTATCTGAGGTCGATAGATTTGATTGATCCTCAAAAAAACAATTCATTATGGCCCTCACTTGTATAGTTACCGACTTGTTACACCTTTATAAGATTATGGTAAATATATATATGTTCGGGTGCAATTTTTATGGTGTTACAATTACTAGATGAGAATTTGTCGTCTATTTGATGAGAGTCATTTTTAGATAGTAATTTAATAAAAACACATTTGCTAGTCATGAATGATAAGATCCACATTTATAATAAGATAGGTTCAGATGAAACCAAATTACAAAATACATATGATAGGTCAAAATTTACAAACTCTATTTGTTCGACATTTAGTTAGTCTTATTCATATATTGGGTTCCTATGATAAAACAATTTCATGGACTTATTTATTTGAAGCTAAATATGAATTTACGCTTAAGATAAAAAGTAAACGTATAAGTTTTAAAAAACAAAACAAAATTTCATACTTTTTCGCCTATTGTTTTATATAAACTTATGTTAGATCTCCTATGTTTTTAATTTTAGTTAGTTATGACTGAATTTAATCCAGCTTGCGACATGTAAATTGAAAATAATAACATGGAGCCATATAGATAAGTAAATGATATAGTATTAAACCGTATTAAGCATATGTCTATATTTTAATCATATTAAGTTACATATTACTAGAGACAACAACATGTAAGTCCCTGTCTTCCGAAAGGTACACATAAAACACTAAGCGAACGTGATTTCACTCCACATCTTTCATAACAATCAGACCTCTTTTGACATGGTCCTTTGAATACACAATCGCTTGATTCATCCATAATTCCTGTCAAATTAATAAAAATTAGAAATACAATTATTATGTATAATTATCATAAGTTTTTTTTTTCTAAAATATATATATTTTAAAATGATAAGTTTTATGTATACAATGAAAATATGTAGATTTGAAGTATATGAAAACAAAAACTTACTAGCAGATTGGACATTAACAATCAGAAAAATGATCAAGAGAAGAGCAACAAAATGAGACTTTGAAGGTGTCATCTTTCTTTTAAGATATCTACAGTATAATTACTATGAAATATTTTGTAAAACCACTTAGTGAATAAAATGAGAGTTGACTGTTCTTTTATAGATGGATTTCCAATGTTAATCCATCAAAATATTTCATCCAATTTAGTATATATCATAAAAAAATATTAACTTCAGATTCTGCTGAAATTATGTACATTTATTTTGATGATTTTAGAAAAGTTCATATGACTTTTGTAAAATCTTTTCTAATCTTACCTAAAACCATGAGATTTAGATTTCTGTATTTTTAACTAAGGAAATCCAGAAATCCTCTCAAATCCTTCTAAATCATTAAAAATCAAATCCACGTATTGTTTCCAATAAAAATAAATTTTAAGATAGATTTTGAAATCATTAATTCAATAACAATAGATTTCATGAAACTTTTTAAAATTCATATTTGAATAAAACTGGATTTATAAATTCTATACAAGTCTCTTAAGATTCCACTTTGAATACACCCTTCTAGTCAAATAGAGTTTACACAATTTTTTAATATTTACTTAGGGGTGTATCTAAAGTATAATTTTAAATGATTTGAGTTTTTATATGATTATTTAGAGAAGTTTATATGGTTTATTGTAAAATGCCACTTAAAAGTTAGAACCATAGAATTTGGATTTTAATATTTTTAACTTAGAAAATCTTAAATCAAATTCTTTCAAATCCTTTAAAATTATTACAAATTAGATCTACAAACTGTTTTGAATAACCATTGAATTTAAGATGGATTTTTAATTACTAGTTAAATAACAGTAGATTTCATTGTTCATTTACTTTTACTTTTGCTATAAACATGCCTATGATATTTTTTTTCTCGTCACACATACTTTATGTATGGAAATGGATTATAAATCAATATATAATATTTTATGATGAGTTTATCATCTACAATCAATCACATCAACTACATTCACTATCACTTTCAAATCTCTTTAATGTATTATGTCTATAGATTTGATTATCCATTAAAAAAGACCCATATAATATTTAACAAACGACCCTTACCTTGTTAGGTTACAAGCTATGCTTTTGCATGAGCTGAAAGTTTTATTTGAAACTAATGTATGTTCTAAATCTTTTTTATTTTAAGAGATTTATTACTTTTAAATTCCAAAACTTATTGATAGTGAAATCTCACGTACAAACGAAATTATATTTATCTAGTATAACATTTATTAAATTATATTGATTTAGATTTATTAAGTTTATGAAAGTTTAAAATAATAATCGTTTCACCATGAATATTATCTTAACATGCGGATCTGGATCGAATGTGAACCAAATTTGGGATCGGTTTGATTTCTATTAAATTCTACTAAAATTGGGTCAAAATTAAAACTTCATTTTATAATGTATAAAATATTTAAAATTAAAAATTAATTAATATGAATAATAAGTTATTTTGAACTATAATTAGATATATTTCTTTATCATTGAAAAGCAAAGTAATTGACAGTGAAAGTTTTGAAATCGAATTTGAGTATCCAAATTCTGATCCCTTCCCGTTACTCGAAAGCTTGAAAACTAATAGGATATTAGCTTAATAATTTTGAAATTACTATAGTATGAATAACTTAGTTATAAGGATAAATAATTTTTAGAATGATTTTGGTAATATTATAGCAACCAAATCGGGATTTTAAAGGTAAGCAGCTAATTTTTAATTTTTATCTTTCTAAAATTAATTTCAGTAGGGGATAATTTATGTAAATATTAATAAGTATATATGGGATTTATGTAATTTTTGTTGATAAGCTCTGTGAGAGCGACATATCAGCTTTTTTTAGTTAGAATGTTTTTCCATTAATATATAAAGGATGATAAATATTATTTATATGCTCGGGTACATTTTTTTGGTGTTACAGTTACTAGATGTCTAGATAAGATGTTTTTGTCTATTTTGATGAGCATCAATTATAAATTTGATAACACATTTGCCATTCATGAATGAGAAGATCCTCATTTACAATAAGATAGGTTCAGATGAAACCAAAATAAAAAATGATTAGTTAGATTTTACAAACAGTATTTGCCCAGCATTTACTAAGTCTTATTCAAGTTCGATTTTCTTATATTGGGGTCATATGAGAAACAAAAAGTATCATAGACTTTTTTATTTGAAACTAAACATAAATTTACGCTAAAAAAACTATAAATGTAAGTTATAAAACATATATTTCATACTTTTTTACCTTTTTTATTGAGACATGTAAATTTTAAATAATAATATAGAACAATATATGTAGGTGATATAATATTTTGTCTAAACCGTATGGAAGATGTATATTGTCAATCATTTTCAGTTACATATTAAGAGAGACAACAACATGTAAGTCCTTGACGTCCCAAGGGTTCACACAAAGCACCAACAAAAGGTTTCATTGCACATCTTTCATAACAATCAGACCTTTTATGACATGGTCCTTTGAATACACAATCGCTTGATTCATCCATAATCCCTGTCAAAATTAATCAAATTAGGTAGTTATAATCATTATGTATAATTATCATAAAATTTATTATAATCATTATATAATAAAATGATATATGCACATTTTTAGTATATGATGTTAAAAACTTACTATCAGATTGAACATTAACCATTAGAAAAATGATAAAGAGAAGAGCAACAAAATGAGACTTTGAAGGCGTCATCTTTCTTTAAACAAATCTACAATAGAATTACTATGAAATATTTTGTAAAACCACTTAGTGAATAAAATGAGAGTTCACTGTTCTTTTATAGATGAGTTTCCAATGTTAATCCATCTAAATATTTCATCAAATTTAATATATACCATAAACCTACTAACTTAAGATTCTGTTGAAATTAGTTACATTGACTTTGTCAACAAAATGCTAAGTTAAATAGAGTTTACACAAATTTGTAATATTTACTTAGGGGTGTATTTAAAGTATAATTTTAATAATTTGAGTTTTTGAGTTTTGATATGATTATTTAGGGAAGTTTATATGGTTTCTTGTAAAAATTCTTTCAATCTCACTTAAAACCATGAGATTTGGATTTTAATATTTTCAACTAAGGGAAACTTATCAAATCCTCTCAAAATCATTCATATCATTACAATCAGATCCACAATCTATTTTGAATAACAATGGATTTTAAGATGGATTTTTAAATCACTAGTTCAATAACAGTGGATTTCATTAGATTTTTTAAAATCCATAAATTAATAACTATGGACTATTTTTTAAAAAAATATGGAATATTATTTTTATTGATTCCCTTATCCAATCTTTGTTTGGTGGCGTTTCCATCTTATACATGTATTGATCATCTCTTCTTTTTTTCTTTTTTTTTGAGCAAACATTGATCATCTCTTCTAAATATAAATATAGCTAGATAACTGATTTTGACTCTCTATCTGCTTCTCTTATTATATTTTGTAAATTTCGATAGAATAATGACTTGAAATTTCACCGTGATAGAGTATAGTTTAGTTTAGTAGTTACAAAATGAATCGGGTGTCCATCTCTTTACTAAATTACTAGATTCGGACCCGCGCTACAGCGCGGGGGAAAATTACCGGATTTTTAATCCTTTGTACGTTGCGGGATAATTAATTTGTGTTTGCTTTACTTTATTTTGATTATTAATTAAATTCTATCATTTTTATATTGTATTTTTGTGTTGGTTTCGAATATGTTCAAAATTATTTAAATTGTATGATTTTAGTTGGATTGTTAATTTTAGAACAATATGTGACATATATACATGTATAAATATTATAATATGAATCATTTTTAAAGTTTAGGGATTGACCCGCGGTACACCGCATAATCATAAATACATGATTTTAACTTGGACCTTTCATGCAGTTTTGTAAAATTGCAAATCTCTAGAATAAACAAATAAAGATATTTAAGGATAAACAAATCTCTAGAATAAACAAATTTAAAGATCATAGTTAATATAGGAGAAAATTATACATCTAAATATTAATATAAGATATTTAAGGAACATTTTGTTTTGAAATATTATGGATAATTTGATAAATATTTTATATTTAATTTATATTTCTGATTTTTAGGTTAATTTGTTAAACCAATATACAAAATCATACATTAATGTATTTTCCTTAAACAAATTAAGATTAATGTACTTTCCAAAACCGATATTGATGGTTTAATTTGGTAGATTTCGAAATAATATATATGGAAACTGGTATTTAATATCTTTAAATTTTTAGTAAGATCCAATTGAAAAATTTCGGGTTAATTTTTTAAAAAAACCCGACCCAAGAAACTTTTGTACTTCTCTTTTACTATAGTAGGGATACATTTATACTCCATTATAGACACTCTTAAAGTAGGGGCAATGTGGGTACGGTGGGGCTGTGGGTACGGTGGGGCTGCTCTTCTTGTAAACATATGTGTAAAATACAGATTTTGATAATGGAGTATTAATTATGTAAGAAACAAATGGTCTAGAAAATAAAACATGTGACTTTCTCCAAAATAACTACCCAAATAACTATGAGAAACAAACAAACAAAACTTTTACATGCATAAAGAAAAGTTCAACTTCCAATTCTAATAGAGCTAGCTAGAGTCAATAAGATTATGACCTAAACCAAATGTTTAGTAAACATAATAATGCGATTTCTAAAAGCGTGGAAAGAGAAATTCAAATTAGATCTTAGACACAACTTTAATTATCGTCAACGCTCTCAACTCGTCATTAATAAGTATCATTATGTTTCTCTTATTATATGTTCCATTTTTAAAAGGCAAAGATAATTTTCTTTAATTGTTCTCATTACGTATTAGTCTTTACTTTACGTGTAAAAAAATTTGTGCCCCAAGGAAAACAAATGGATCAGAACAAAAAAAAAAAAAAAGACTCAAAAGACAAAAATCCTAGAAAATAGAAAGACATCGAAGGTCTACAACAACACAAAAATAGTTTGAAAATTGTGGTGATGTATGTCTTTTATTCACATTGTACATTAAACCTAACCTAAACCAACCAACCATGACACAAAGACCTCTTACATATATTGAGAATATTCTTGTTTACGTAAGCCAAAAAAAAAAAATATGGTTCACGAGAGTTTGAAAATCCCCAAGAAACAATAAAGATTTTTAAAGTTCAAAAACTTGAAAATAATACACATACAAAATTAGTAGAAAGAGACATGAAGTGTGGTTGGAAAATGATATACTAGTAGTAAAAACACTCAAGCTGTCTGGTTCCATTGAAAGAGAGAGAGTTGTGGCCATCGTTATCTAATAAATTCTACTCTTACTTACTAACTATTTTTTCTTATTTTTTTTACAGCTTATCTTGTAGTAGTTAAGTTTATTACTATTGTTATGTATACTCTTCTTTGAAATCACATTTTCTTCTTGTCACATTAAATATTCTTCACCACACTCCTCCCTCATGTTTCGATTCCCAATGTAAGCAAGAAAGAGAGAGAGAGAGAAAGAGAATTGCAGAGAGGAGATAGCTGCTTCCAACATCTCTTGTCTGTTAAAAAATTTTAAAAATCAAGAAAGAAACCACAAGACTCAACAAGATTAGATTATAAACTCAGCCACCATTTTTCTTGTTTTTTTTTGTATATCCCTCCATCCACCATTCTTATCTTAAACTCTTTTCTTGTCAGTCCCTTTTCAGTTTTCACCACTCTGTTAACTTTTAACTTTAAAGAAAAAAAAAGGAGGGTGTGTAAGCTTTTTCTTACTTCAAATGGAAAGAAACTGCCATAGACTCGACTACGGCCACGGTGGTGGTGGAGCAATCTTTTACTCATCTAAGTCGAAGAGAAAACCAAATGGATGCATGGCTGCTTTTTACCACTTATTTGATCATCACCTCACCATTGATTCTTCTTCAAGGTCAAATAAAGGTATATATACTCTTTTCTTTATTTTGTTTCACACAGCTTGAGTTAAATTTTCTAAGCTTTTTTTTTTTTGGAGTTTGAGAGATACTAAACATGAGTGTTGTTCTTGTTATCGTTTGAATTTTTTAGGCTTGAAGTTAATAGAAGAGTCTATACCATCAACAACCTATAAGGACAAACCAAGTTTGAATATTCCTGTAAGTCAAAATTTTAAACTTTAAAGAGTTGTTTGAGATAATTTTCTGATAATGACTTTGGAATTGTAGGTAAGCATGAGAGTGAGGACAGAGATAGGGACAAAGAGTTCAAGACTCAGAGCTCTTGCGACTGATAGTTCCACTTCTTCATCTGAGATATGTAACTCACCAGGAAGCAAAACACCAAACTTGGTGGCTAGACTAATGGGTCTTGATCTCCTTCCTGATAAAACTGATCTTGACCATTCACTGTCAAATCTTCATACAATGCCGAGCCATCATGGATCAAGTCGTCTCACAAACCATTACCATAGACTTTCCAATAAAGGCACAAGATCTTTACCGGTGAGCCCTAGAATCTCCTCTGCTCGGAAATCGGATTTCGACATTCATCGTCTCTCTCTTCAGCTGAACAAAGAGAATAAGCATGAAGATCCTAGGTGTTCAAGGCTGAAACAAGATCAAGAAGAGAACCGGAGTCCTAGAGATTACGCGAGGCATATAGTAAAACAAATCAAAGAGAGAGTCGCCACTAGAAGAGTCGTTGGTATGGATATAACAAACTCGGTGAAGAACAGAGAGGCAAGCGCAAGACCATCGTTACATGAGCTTAGAAGAGACACAACAGTTTCTTGCTCACCAAGAACTAGGTTTTCAGATAAAGAGAACAAACCAAGCAGCACCAATCGTAAACCTAATTCCTCACCTTCTTTCAGAACAGAACAGATCATTCAGAAGCCAAAGCCAAAGCCAACAACAGTGATTCTTGTTTCCGTGTCAAAATCCTCTGGAGAGAAACAGAGCCAGAACAGAGCAAAACAAAAGCAACTAAAACCAATCAACCGATGCAAGAAGGCAGAGAATGAAACAAGATTCACTCAACGTCTCATAAAGCATACTTCTCCGACATCCCATATTCGAATCAAACAGCGAGAAACTGTCTTGTCAGAATCAAAAGACGTTAAAGCCAAGCCTTTACACAAGAAGAAGTTCAAAAAGCTACCAAAGTCAAATGTTCTTGAAAACATCTCTGACACAAGACCACCTCAGAAACAGGTACAATCTTTGTTTCAAACTCCTCTCTTTCTCTAACACTCACTAACTTTCCAAGCTTCTGATTAAATTCCCATCTTCGTGGATTGTTTCAAGATTAACGAAAGAGATAGACCGATATCGAATGAAGACTCATCACTCTGCTCTAGTTTGATACAAAGCATCGAGAAGAATAGTCCACAAGTAGCAAGGAACCACAAATTGAACGATGTAGCCACTGAAATCGATTCAGAGAAAGACTACATCACAAGAATAGTGAATCTTGCGGGAATCAAGACTGACTCAGCAACAACAACCCTTGATCCTTCGATTTTTCGCAAACTAGAGCAATGCGGAGATTATCCATCAGGATCATTGGCTCTCCAATGCAATAGGAAGCTCTTGTTCGATCTAGTGAACGAGATTCTAACTAAAAACGTTGAAGCTTACGCGAAAAGACAGGGAAACAATCATGGTTCGGAGCTAATCAGCGAGCTATGTTCCGCTGTAGCGACATATAGTAGTAAGTCTTGTCAAGTTGCTTTAATGGACGTTGACCATCTTCTAGAGACAAAGAAGGTTGACGAAGAGATCGTTGCAGAGATTGAGCGGGAGATCATAGACGCGCTCGTTGCAGAGATTGAGAGCCTTAACTTGAGTCATTAGTTTATGGGCCTAATTTGCGACTAATTAAGTATTAGAATAGTTTTTTTATTGGGTCAATCTGTAATTCCCAACAGGCCATAGGTGTTTATATTTAATTTCATATAAAAATATGAATGAATGCATTTTCGTAACCAATAACAAAAGTTCTCAAGGCCATATTCGTTTGATCTATACTATCAATTTATGAAGATATTACGAGTACCACAAAGATTAGCGTTCATAATGAGTCATTGACTTACTGCATTCAAAAATAAATATCGTCTCTTGATATGGTCCATATGGATCCATGAGCATTAAAATATGTTGTCCGAAGAGAACCACTTGGTACAATCATAAGAACTGTGTTGCGCAAAAACGGAATGCAAAACATACTTTTTAAGGATAATACATAAACTCTATGAAAGAAGAAGAAATAAACTTGAGAGCTTACATTACATTACATCCACAAACAAAAACATAGTTTAAACTCTCTTACAACATTACATTATTTTGAGTTTATACCAAAAAAAAAAAGAGAAGTAAATGAAATACTATTAATATACATAACATTAACTGAGATGATCATTGATAGAATGATCAGGTTTTAACGAACAAGATAGATCTTATGGTCGGCTCTTCGAAAATCCAATAGATAGATCAGTTTCAACATCCTCTTTCTCTTTGCTTCCGGACGGCATCCCCATTGACATTTCTCCAACCTGACATATATGTATGTAAGAGTATAAATTAATTTTCTTAATTTGCATATATAAGTAGGGAAAAATAAAAACAAACATTTACTTAAACCCTCTTCTATATAAAGTAATGACCCATAAAACAAAACATTTTTGGTTAAAGCATCATATGACATATTCCAATTTTCTCCATATACATAAGTTAAAAACGGCTCTTGTCAAATGAATGGGTTCAAGTTACAATGTGTATCTCCATTTGTACGTATTTGTGACTCTCTATATATATAAAGGTATAAAAATTAGACAAATGGTACATACCCTTCCACAGAGCCTGACTCTCTCGTCCTTGAGTTCCCCCTCCTGATTTTGAAAGAGGAGAGATCGATAAAAACACATGGCAAAGGACAAAAGATCCAGACAAAATAAAGATTGTAATAATTCTGACCTTGGCTTTTAGTTTCTTTAGCTCATCTTCATATAACTTAGCCTACCAATATCAACCAAACATATATAGAATCCAAAAATAATTAAGCGATCGTACAATAGATTGCAAAGAAATATCTCATTTCATTTTATATATCTACCTTTGTCAATCTAACAATATGAAGGCTTTTCTCTATCTGGTTGGCTATATCCTGAAGTTCTTTCACCGAACAAAACGCCAAGCTTTGCCCCATCAGCTTCCTAACAAAGCCACATTTTCAAAATTAGGAACCACTTAAAACTCAATTATATTACATCATAAATAATTTAGAAAACATATGTGACACTGAGAAACAAACCGGTTATGAACTTCAAGCACTTCAATCTTTTTCACCATTGCCACCATTTCCTTCTTTAGTCCCTGCATACCCATTATAATGGTTGTACCAAATGCTACCAAAAATAAATCAAATGTGGCTAGATCTATCTTTCAACTTAAGTTTGACTTGATACAAAAGAGTTTGTAAGTAATTGATGAACCTAGAGAAATAATTAACTTTGAGAATTGGTATATAAAGGAACCTGCACGTATTGCTCTATAGGGTGACTTTCTGCACCAAAGTACTCTCTCTTATATTCTGAGTATCGCTTGATCGTCTTCTTGATACTAAGACATATCTCAAGAAACACTTCATTAGGTTGTAAGATTTTGTTGAAGAATATGTGAACACTCTCTGGCATGGTAAGCATGTTAATCCATCTATGGCTCTTTATAAGCACAAATTGATATTATTATACGAGACATATGGCCTATATATTGGTAAAGATCATGAAAAAGACATGTTGGACATCTATATATATGTGCGGATTTTCTAGATAAACCTACCTAGGTATGAATAAATTTTTCCATGATTGATGTATATTGTTATCTTATGCAAATCATTCTCAGCACAATAGGCCTACGTACTTAGTGAGTCGTCCGACCTTATTACTTAGACCATATGAAGCACTGAATATGGAACTTGGACTTGAAACATTAACAATATATGAACACCCTTATTAGTGTGCACCTAACTCACACACCCAAAAACTAACTCGAAAGTGGAGGATTGCCACAACACATATATATTATCCAAATAATTTTTGTTTCTTTCAATATAGTACTCTAATACACTCCTCTCACGCTTAGGATTAAACATCTGAAACGTGAAGTTTGTAAAATTAGATATCCACTGATGATAGCCCACTTCCGAGAAAACTGAATTTTGGCTATATTCGCGTGAACTCAAGAACTGAAAATTGGCACAACACTTACACATCCAAAAATTATACAGAAACAATAAATTTGAACAAAACACTAATATATTTCTCATATATACACGATTTATTTTGAATTTCTTTGTGTTCTTAATCATTAAAGGTTCATTTTGTACCAATAGAAAATAGTATGTTAAATGGTTTGTGGGTTCTGTTTGACACTTTGAGTTCCAACGTAAAATAAGGCTCAATATTCAATAATCCGTATGTCTGAAAACCCTAATTAATTCATAAGATAAACCTCAAGTTAAACTATAAATGGAAAAAGAACATGAAGGTGAAACAAGAAAATAATTGTTTACCAAAAAAAACTATAGGATAAATAAAATAAATGAAATGTGAAAGAAGCATATTTTGGGAGAATCTACCAACTTCTTCAAGCAAAATCTTTTACCGATATATAAAGAAATCTCAAGTACTATTTGTTCAGAAATATTCAACTACACACAAGTACTAAGCAGACAACATATTCAACATCACAAAAAGAGTTTTGAAATAGTAAATAGATTGGAGTAAATTGTCAAGCTCAAGTTAAGAATCTTACTCGGAGCTTGCGAATTCATATAATCTTCCTTTCTGAGAGAAGATAATAGCTGCGACTTGAGCATCACATAGAATAGAAAGCTCATGAGCCTTCTTAAAGAGACCACTCCTTCGCTTCGAAAATGTGACTTGCCTGCTTGTCACGTTCTCGATCTTCTTGATCTCGATCTTTCCTCTCACCATTTCAATTACTTTCCTACAAAAACCAATCAAGATTTATAAAAAAACCCTAACTAAATGTGAGCAAACTCACAAGATTCCAAAAGTCAAACCCCAGAAATGGTTTGGTTTCTTGATTGAAAAACCAATCCAAAGATTAAGATCAGTGTGAGAGAACTTTACCAAGAAAATGTGAGAAATCTAAGAAACAAAAGGAAACTCTCAAAGCCCCTTTTGAGAGAGCTAGCTAGTTTTGTCGAGATTTGCTTCAAAAAGCCATTTAAGAAGACAAATGAGGATAGAGATAACGAATAATATCACAAGAAGGAAAAGAAAAAGCAATTAGACGACAAATGAAGATAAAATTAGTGGAAAGTGAAATCATACAACAACCAACAGAAAAGCTTTGTGTTTACCTCTCTCTTTAGGCTCTTAGCGGAAGAGCCACAACAAACCCTAAAGAAGTCTAATCTTTTGTTTAACAAAAAAGAAAGAATCTGCCTTCTCTAATTTGGTAACGTTTATATGTTCCATTAGGCCACGTAGGCAGTAGGTAATGAAAGAAAAGTAGCTAGACAAAAGAGGAATCCTTCTGTCTATGTAAAATCAACTTTTTGTTTAACCGGCCCGGATGAATCGGTTCTATTTTGTGTGGGTCAATCAATTTGTCGTCATTTTGAACTATACGTTTTGGACCATTAACTAATAAATATAACATTTATACAGATAATGATGTTCCTTGAAGAAGCATTTTCAATCGATTTTCTTTTTCGCCAAAATTTTTCAATCGTCAAGAAAAGAAACCCAAAAAAAAATGAACATTCTTGAAATATAATTTTTTTATGGTATTTTTAGAAAAAAACAATTAAAGTGCGGTATTTTGGGAGAAATAATAATAAAGATATTAGCAAAAATAAAATTTGTCAGTATTAAAATTTTTAAATCCAGTCTCGCGTAACATTATATGTTTGAGTTTTAGTTTTCATGTTAATACATTTTCATCAAAGAGATTTAAATAGATTTTTACATATTTTAATAATCCCTTTAATAGTAAAATTTTCTTCTTGAAATATAGCTGATTTCTTTGTATATATTCTTATTCAAACCCAGAATTTTACAAATAAAACCTATTGACAATATATTTAATAAATATAGTTTAAACATTTTAAAGCCTGGAAAGGAAATTATGTCGGTAAAGAAAAGTCCAAAAAAACTCAGAACTCAAAAACAGCAATCTAAATTTGTTTTTCTTTACTTAAAAATATTGATGCCTAAGTTTAGTCAGGATATAGCTTGTCCCTGAGCAACCCGTCTGTTTGGATGAGTACGTAACTGAGTTAAAATTTTGTTTTTCTTTACTTTAAATATGGGTGCCTAAGTCATGATATAGCTCGTGCCTCTTGAAAGACCATGGAGCAACCCGTCTGTGTTTGGATGAGTAATTAGATTTTGTTTTTGCCAAAGTTTTGAATTACATCAATGGAGAATGTAAAGGAGATTTTGACAACGTTACGTCTTCGATTACTGCGTAGATATCATCATCATGATACATCATAGAGTTGACGTAATTCGATAAGCAACCAGACATACCCACGTGTATTTTCCACTTTCTTGCAAAATCGAAGACTTAAAGATTTGTTTTAACTGTTCGTCTTGATTTGGTCTTGACTTATAATAATAATAATAAGCTTCTTGACAAGTATAAAAAAGTTCAAATACGGAATTGCTTGAGGCTTTGAGCTACTACGACGTACGGCAGATTAGACAATATACTTGACAACTTATACATGTCAAATTATTTTTTGCCAGTTTTATACACATATTAAGAGAAGCACTCAAAAAAAAAAAGAAACTGTAAACTATGGAATCAGCTAGGTAGTGTACAAACACATCGAACCACCGAAGTAACAAAAAACTGTGAGTAGCCAAATACTGAACGTGCGTGTGAAATATGTGTTGTTGTTATAGCCGAGTAACGGGTAATCCAATGAATAGTTCGGTTTCAACCTCCGATGCATGTTTGGTTCTGCAGCCACTACCTTCACTTTTACCCTTATCACATATTTGTAATGTTTGTGGCACCACCGGTCGCATTAACCTTTCTCTAATTTGCTGAAAATAAAGTATAACATTATTTTTTCAGTAATTTGCATATAACAAGGTCATGCATGATACATGAAAGAGGACATGACGTATTATTATCATACATATATGTAGTATTTTCTTTTTATTAGAAATGTGCTTTGTTAATTCAACCTAAACCATATATCTAAGCTTCTACCTAAACGAAGCGGTATAACTAAATTTCCATGTGTGTTGTGTGTTTTATGTATATCCATTTGTGAGTGTTTGCGTAATTACCTCTTCACGCAGCCTTTTTCTCTCGTTCAAGAGTTCTCTCTCCTAGAATCGGAAGAAGCTAAATCAATAAAAAAATCACATACATATAGACAAAATACAATCATTATCAGGTAAAAAAAAATATGTAATACGTACCGTTTCTTTAAGCTTTTCCAGTTGATCTGCATATAACTCAGCCTATACATACCAAGATCAACCAATTAAGACATTACATCATTAACATTTGAGTATATGTATGTGTTTTGTACCTTTTTTGACCTGACAATTCGAAGGCTCTTCTCAATTTGAGAGTCTATCTCTTGAAGTTCTGCCACTGAACACGAACCCAAACCTTGCCCCATCAGCTTACTAATTCATACATAGTGATATTCAAGAGATAACAAAATTTCAGTATATTAATCTTAGGACGACTAGAACAAATTGTCTGGATATATACAAATAGAGTAACCGTAGGACTAGTATGCGAACCGCTGATGAACTTCAAGGAGATCAATCTTCTTTACCATTCTATCCATTTCTTTCTTCAGCTCCTATACACACAAACAAAGAATAGATCATTTCATCCAAATGTCTGTAGAGACTAACGAAACTGAAAGATCCCAACTAAAAATAAGCTAGGGTATGCATATATAGAGAATGACATGAACCTGCAAGTATCGTTCTACTTGTGGCCTCTCTGCCACAGAGAAGTCATTACTAAACTTGCCATATCTTTCTATAATCTTCTCCATCCTGAAAAGTCAATCCACAAGAGAAGTATTCCTTTATCAAATTCGTTTTTGCAATCATACAAAATGAGTCCGATCCTATTTGTGAAGACTATACACTTAATGTTTTAGCCAAACTTAACCATAACCAAAAAAACAAAGGGATTGATAACCTGAACTATGTACAGACCTTTTTGTTGGCTATAATAGCTAATTCATGATTGAAAATCTAGTGACAAAGTTTGTATCCCCGAGAGATTCTTTATAAATCTTATTATCATCCATAGACCATAATATAAACAATATTTATGTACTTACATGTTCGGATACTCATTTTTGTTGGGTATTCTAATAAAACCTGACCATATGCCAAGTGGGTAATGTGTGGGTAACAGTTTAAGTTCCAAGGAATACGAGGTTCACTGTTCAAGAAACCTCTTTTCTGAAAACCCTAATCTACTTGCTCGTGCTTGAGAGAACATTATCCCCTTTAGTCACTTTCTAGTTTTGCAATTCATTGACATCCTTAATAAGCTTAGCTCACTAAATACAATCCAGAAGTACTTAGAAAAATTAAACTAAATGTGAAAAAAGGCATGGGGAAATTCAGGAACTAGCTAGACAAAAAAAGAAAAGAAAAAATAAAGCCAAATCTTTAACGTGTATATTGCAAAATCTCTAGTACGATTTCGTCAGAGAAAATAGAACTATTTACTACAGAAGCTCTACACACAACTCTATAAATCTATGTGTAGAAGAAAAAAAGATTTGAAATAATAGACATATGTGTAAAAGTATTATAGATGAAAGAATGAAATATTCTTACTCGGAGCTAGAGTATTCGTATAATCTTCCACTCTGAGAGAAGACAATGGTGGCGACTTGAGCATCGCATAGAACCGAAAGCTCATGAGCCTTCTTAAAGAGACCGCTCCTTCGTTTAGAAAACGTTACTTGTCTGCTCGTCACGTTCTCGATCCGCTTGATCTCGATCTTCCCTCTCACCATCTTTCCCTGTCATATTCCATTCCAAGATTCATCAGATTCAAAACCCTAACTAAATCCGATCGGAAATGAAAGTTTCAATTCAGACAAAACCAAAACAAATGATTTATTGCAAAACAAAAAGTCAAAGGTGGTAATCATCTTTTTCAAGAAAATGTAGGAAACTGAAGAGTAATCTAGATTCACTTCAAAACCCCTACACAACTTCTTATTTTTTTCTCGATACATATAAATCAGCCGACAATTTTTTTTTCTTTTTTAGAAATGGAAATAATTTGGACAAAGAATAGAACAAAAGCTGAATAATGGTAGAAAGAAAGTAAACCCCTAGAACTAAAAATTTCAGAAAAGAGGCATGATCTATAGATCTCATGATGAAGCTCTGTGTTTACCTCTGTGTCTGTCTTTGTACAAGAGAGCCACAAACCCTAAAGTCTAACCTTTGCTTTTTTTGTGTTCTGATTAATTGGACAGAGAAAAAGGAAAAAAAGATACAAATGAGATTTTTATTTTCTTCTTTTGGTGGTGATGCTAGTTGGATTAATAATTGATCAACAATGGAATATAGAAAGAACACTAATACTTAAAAGATATAAACAAAACAATAAAAAACAAAAGTGAGTGAGTCCGAGTTTGTGATTAAACAAATGTCCATGACTTTATCTGTTTTTGGTAAAATTAAGAATAGAGAACAGAAATATTAATTAACTTTTTTTTAAAAAAATATATAAAGGACTAAAGAGTGGGTGGAATAGATAATAATACATCTATAAAAAAAGAGATTAAAGAATAGTGTTCTTCGATCGGCGTGTCGACATCATCGTACACTGACGTGCACTGTTAGCTAATTGTATCAAGACACGTATGTTCTTTTAGCTTTCCCACAAATCACAGTCAGCTTCTGTGAAATATCGAGAGACCTCTCGTCTTCAACAGACAACACACAGATTCCTTTATCTCCACTCTTTTTACATAATTGGTTATGTTTATTAATATTCCTCTTTTCTCTTGATAGAAAATGTGATAAGAGTTATGTGTCTAAATATGAGAAAAAGGTCAAATAAAGATACCCCATCTCACACCATTGTGTCCTTCTAATTCTAAATCGTGATAGTTAAGGGGAATATGAATATATATATATATATATACTTCTTTCTTTCTTTCCTTTGTTCTAATCGTGGGACTTGATCACCATTGATTTTAATTCTTGCTCCTCTATCATTTCCATAAATACATTTATTTAGGTCATGTTCGTTCCCTTATCGTTGGTAACAACAATCAGATAGCAACCAAACGTTGTTCGTTTGAAAGTCGTACTGAACAACGACTAAAAATGACCAAAAACAATGACAACGATTGAATATTGATTGCTATTTATTCATCATCTTAAAAATAGTGATCATAACATATAGTTTAATTGTGATTATAACATATAGTCTATATATTTTATGTTTATAACAAACCAAAAACACATTATGAATGATTTTTTTTTTTTTTTTTTTTTGACATCTATGAATGATCTAATTAAAAGAAGTTGACACATTTGTTAAGTCATGTGAAGTTCAAAACATGGATCCGTAAAGAAACACTGTTGTAATTGGGTCATAAATACTGTTATTGGGCTTAATTTACAGACTTGGGCCTAAAAATATGTATATATTGGATCATCTTGATGGAAACTAATGAAAAATTATAAATGAATATAACAAATTTAAATAACCTGAATCTGATCTTACACCCTCCCCAGAAAGCTAGAATCGCGAAGATGGGAGACAATGGAGAATCAATAAAGTGGCCGAAGATCAAACTCAAACCAAATCTCAATGTCTCTTATCTCAAGAATCATGATCTCTTCACTGTAAGTAGTTCCTCACAAAAAATCATCATCAACCCATTTCGCTATTTATTCTCCCCCAATTTTAGTTTAAGCTTAATTGGTGTTTTAGGGTTTATATCTCCTGATGATTTCTGGAGAATCCGACTCCAAAGTTGTAAATTTATAATCTTTTATCGATTTTTTTGAGCGGATTCTTGTAATATAGTGTATTTTTCGTAATTGATTTGATGGGTTTATGTTAGTTTTTAACTTTGTTCGAATCTAATTTATGTTAAAGCCATGATTTATGAAATTGCAACACCCATTTTTCTTCAAATTCTTTGGAAAAATGCTAAATTTTTAATGGGTTTTAGTTTTTTAGTTGAAAGTGATTCACTTTCTTTTTTTTAAGTTACGAGTAAGCCAAAATTTGGAGTTGTTTATGTGAAGATCAACCAACAAAGATCTTCAGTTCATTGTAGAATTGAAGCTTCTTGTTTGTGAAATATGATGTTAGATCAAAACATGTGTATGATACTTAAAACATTTTGAAGTATTGATTGGTTGCTTTAGGAGGTTTGTAACTTTTTGTGTTTATGATTTTAGGTGGAAAACTGTCTCACTTCTGATGAATCAAAGGCTTTCGTTAAAATCGCGGAGTCTCTCGGTTTCACTCACCAAGGAAGTCGTGGCCCAGCTTATGGTGAAGCTTATAGGGATAACCATCGAATCTCAGTGAATGATCCCGTCCTTGCTGATACGTTATGGCAATCAGGGATTTCCAGTTTATTTACTGATATAAAGATTAGGAGGAAGGTTGCTGTTGGCTTGAATCCAAATATTAGATTTTACAGGTTTGCAGTCCCAACTTTTTTTGAAGTTTCATTCTTTGCTCACTCGTAATGGTTAAATTGTGGAGAGTTGTGCAAAGAATATGTTCTTCATTCTTTGCTTGCAGTCTATGGATGTGTTTTTTTACAACGTTGCAGAGTTGTTAAGGGGGGAAATTTCTGAAATTTTTGGCACAATGTGATTTTTAATTTTCAGGTATAGTCCTGGCCAGCATTTTGGTCGTCACATTGATGAAAGTGCTGATCTTGAAGATGGAAAGCGGACTTATTACACATTGTTGATATATCTAAGCGGGAACAGCTCAAAATCAAAATCAAAGAGCGGTTCAAGCAAGACAAATGATTCTTCTTCAGCAGAGCCATTAGTAGGTGGAGAAACCGTCTTTTATGGTTCCAGGAACAGTATCGTGGCTGAGGTAATCAACTCTCAAATAGTATTTTTGGTCTTAATTTCATGTTATATTGATATACCGTCAACTAAAATTGCTTATTATCGCAGGTAGCTCCAGTTGAAGGTATGGCTCTCTTTCACATCCATGGCGACAAGTGCATGTTGCACGAAGGAAGAAATGTCTCCAAAGGTGTCAAGTATGTGTTCCGTTCTGATGTTGTTTTTGCATGAAGGAACTCTGCTTTCAACTTCTCTGTATTTTGTATTTCTCCCATTATTTACTTTCATACAAACCACATATTAAACTTGTGTAGATCACTATTTATAAGAAGCCATGATGAGTAGTTTATGACTCATTTTTCCATGTCTGTTTGATGGTAAATGATTCAAATTTGGTGACCAGTAAGTGAATCTGCTGATGAATGTAAAGGTAAGTCATTGAATCAGAACAAATTTACTTTTAAAGCATCTCTGCAAACTCAATAGAGAATCAGAAGGTTTGAAAACTGATCAATAAACTGGCCAGTCTACATTATTAGTATATGTGTATAAATGAAATCAAATTTGAAGAAAAGAAAACTCTCATTTGGTTGCTTGTTAGTGTTATGCTTTTAGTTGGCGAAACGCGTGTAAATTCTCACTTGTCCGGTCTCCTTGACTCCAACGTTTCCAAGTTTCACCATAGAAGCTGCAAACTCTCTAAAGAATGCTTTTTGGTCTTGAGCATACGTCTCAACGATCCACTTAGTCCTGGAATCCCCAAGAAGCGCCTGATCAGACCCAAACACTCCTTTCCCTGACAAAATCAGCTTGTAGTAAACATTATCGAAAACAGAGGCTGTAGAGTCCAAGACTGTCCCTGCGTTCTTGCCTCGGTTAGATGATCTTGGGCATTTCTTTTTCAGGGTTTGTGCAAATGCATAGTTCATCGAAGGATCAATGTCCTGGAATTTGCTGAAGTTTTGAAGACGGGACTCGAAAGAAGAACAGTGAGAGAACCCTATGGTGTGGCCACCTGAGAGCGTAACCATGTCTTTCACCGACAAGCCTCTTGCTGCAAAGCTTTGGATCAGTTGTGACACGTTGAACGTTGGTGGTGGGAGATTTCTAGTCTCGTTGGCTCGCGAAACTGTCCCGTCTTTTCGCCCTTTTAGTACGCTCCAGTAAGGACCACCGGACTAATAAATGAGATATATTACAAGTAAATCAAATCGAACGAAATGTCAACCAGAATGTTTAAACTGTCAACAAATTATCTTATACACTAATATAATATCGATAAATAGTTATGATTTTTTCCTAGATAGTTATTGTTTTTAAATAAAATCAAACTGATATTCATGTGATATTCAGAATTGAATATATAGACCATAAAGGCACTAACCAGGGTAACCACATCTCTGGCTGCAATGGCGATTACATCGGCACAAGAAACAGTACGAGGACAAGCCTTCTCGAGCTTTCTCTTAGCATCTTCGATCACATAAAACGAACGTACGGAGATGTTAGGAGGACCATCCTTCTCAGCTTGGTTTGACCGAGTCGAATCAAGTAGAATGGAAGCATCACATCCCTACAAAAACCCATCCAAATTATTTACTCAAAACACAACTTCATATGGATCAATGATCGAAGAAGGAAGATCAAGATGCATACCCTGATGAAACAGTCGTGAAAGAACATTCTTAGGAGACGAGCAGGCACTTTGGGATCATACAAAGTAGCATTCCTAACAGTTTCAAGTATGATTTTCTCAGCAGCGGGGCACGACCGGTCATAGTAGTGAGCATTAAGAGCACCTTCCGAGGGCTTAACTATCGCAAAAATCGCAATTACCATAGCGAAAACGAGTCCTTTCGAGAATGCCATTTTATGGTTTTGTGTGTTTAAGCCTCAAAAAGCACTCTTTATGTTTCTTGATGTTGTTTGAGGAGGATTTGATGATGAAGAAGAAGCGGGACTGTTAGGCTTATATAAGGAGAGAAACGAGATGCTTAATATTCTAGAAAATGTATATATGTATAAACATATGCTTTAAAGTTACTCAAATTATTTGAAACAAACATGCATATATTCCGGTATTCAAAACTTTTTTCTCTCCTTAATAAAATCGTACTTTGAGTCGAAGCATGTACTTTGGTGAAACTTTAGAGAATATATCTGTTCAGTCGAGCTGGACAGAATCTTGTTTTTTTCATTTTTTTTTTTTTGCTAACTATTAAAACAATATGCATTTGACCATGAATATATCAAACATTAAAAAGCTTTCATTGTAAAAATTTGTGTTGTTTTGTAACTGAAACATCCCATTGTAAATGAATCCGGATAGTGCCAAATAAGGAAAGACAACGGTTAAGATTGTAAGGATGGTAAGGACAAAGGTGGTCGTTGGGTTTAAACTTACGTTTAAATATGAGTAATGTATAGACTAAATTAAAAATCAGGTGTAAAATGGTGGCATAATGGTGTGTGTGTGTCATGTGTGTAATGGATATAGAGTAAGATTAAGAAATGAATAAAGAAGAGGATTAAAAGAGAAGATGGTCAATAAAGGGAAGCTACAGTTGAGTTATGCCTATCAGTGTTTGGTTTCAAATGCCTTGGCTTAGCAGTACGGTTGGTGAAGGATGATTTGTAGTACTACTTTTTTATTTATTTTCTGCATCTTTTTTTTGCCTTTCTAATTCTTCTCACGTGTACGGCACTGTTTGCATTGTTGTAGTTTCGAAAATTATATATCATAAATATTCTAAAGTCACATTTCTATTATGATGGAAAATCTCAACAATGAGAAAAAATACATTCAAAATTGGATTTTGCGTACAACCGAAGAAGAGGACTACACACTTTAGATACGGTTGACAACAAAGCAAGAGAAAAGATTGGTTATGGTTTAGTGTTTTTTCTTTCTTTTTTTTTTCTTAACTTCGAAAGTACCACATCTTGATCCATTTAGTAAGTTGTAACCATAAAGGATACGTACAAGCCAATAAGGCAAAATAAACATCATTAGAGGAACACCGTAGTATCGCCTCAAAGTGAACAACATCGGTCTACTTGGAGGTCCTAGCTCTTGGTTCAATTCAGGTTGATTCTCCACTTAGGCCACTCTTAATAGTAGTGATTATATTCAATACACAACCTCTTTAGCGTGTAAGTACAATATCCCAAAATAATTTATAAGATTACATTGTAAGAAAGAGTTAAACTGGACTTGATCAGGCATGTGGGATGGTCTTAAGGCAATCAAAGTGTGCTCATGTTGTGATTCAAAAGTTTTTGGTATTACCTTTGAATTTTTGTTAGTCATTAAGACCTTAAAAAATTAAACTTTACTTAGTAATTTAAAGCACATCAAATTAAAACTTAAAACATATAAAATAAAAACAAACATAAAAACGGTTTAAGAAATATATATGTAAAATAGTACAAAACAAGTAGTCAAGTTTTTTTGAACAAACAAGTACTCAAGTTTCAAAATACTAAAATCGACCAAACTTCAAAACCCCATTCATCAAATATAAAAGCTTAAGCATACAATAAAACCTCATTACAAGCTGAAACTTAAGGTACGTAGATCACACTTACATTTTTCTCCTTATTTAATACTCTTAGACTATGAATTTAAAATCAAACTCAAAACAAACATAATTATTTCACTCATATCAAGAGGAACACCTCTTGTTAATTGTAACCTTAAATCCATGCTTCATTCTAATAATCAAACTAGTATTTGGTTCAAACTTCTGCCCTTTAGCAACCTTAATGTCATAGTTTTGTAATATTTCCACGGCCACAATCTTCATTAGCATCATAGCTATTTGTTTACCTAGGCATACTCTCGGGCCGGCATTGAATGCTAAGAACTTGAAGGCAGGTACATGTCTCAACTCTCCTGTCTCAGAAATCCATCTCTCTGGCTTGAACTCTAGTGCATTGTCTCCCCATACAGCCCTCATCCTACCCACCCCATATATAAAGATCAGAATCTTCGAGTTTGTTTCGACTTTATGTCCACTTGGAAGCACATCTGATTCTAGAGGAGACACACGCTCGAAAGGGAAAGGTGGATAAAGCCTCATTGTCTCACACAATGCGGCATGTAAGTACACTAGCTTGTTTAAGTACTCCATTGGATCATATGATGGCCTCTCTTGGCCACTACTACTCCTTGGTAGAACCGTGTCAATCTCTTGAAGAATCTTAGCCGCCACTATAGGGTTTTCCGACAAAAGCCAGAAGAACCAAGTGAGAGCAGATGCAGTGGTGTCTCTCCCAGCTAGAAGTAAAGCTAAGACATTGTCTCTGAGGAACTTATCATTGATAGGATCCAAGAGCTGGTACTTGGTTGTATCAAGCTTTATGTGAGATGTCAAAAGATCTTCACTTTCTCCACTGGAATTAATCCCTTGTGATCTTTTTATGTCTTCCTTCCTAGCTGATACGTATTTCGCACACACTCGATCAAAAACGGCACCAGCTTCTGTCATCTTCTTCTCTATCCCGACTCCAATCAATTTTTGTAGCTTCCACAAGAGTCTAGGTTTAACATGCCTATAGAAAACGCCTTCTACTATATCGTCGAAAGCTTTAGCGGACTCAACCTCTGGCATTTCAATGGAGAGAGATC